TTTTTTTTTTAATTTTTATTTTGTCAATATACAATGTATATGATTATTATGGCCCTTCACCGACACCTCCCGCCCTCCTCCCTCTCTCCCCTCCCCCCCAAGAATGTCCTTTCCGTTTGCTTGTTGTAACAACTTCAAAAAAAGTATAGTTGTTATATCTTCTTCCCCACCCCCCACCCCCGGTATTTTTGTGTGTGTTTGTGGGTAAATTAATTTGTTTATTTTTTAGCTCCCACCAATAAGTGAGAACACTTTGTGTGACTTCCCGTCAGAGAATTTCTAATGATTTTTCCAAATAAAACTTTTATGAACTGGACTGTGTATCTCCTAAATTATATGTTGAAGTCCTAATCCCCAGAACTTCAGAATGTAACGGTATTTGGAGATGGGGCCTTTCAAAAGATAATTAATGTGAAATAAATTCATCACCTAATCCAATATGACTGGTGTCCTTATAATAAGAGGAGATTAGAACACAGAACACACAGCAGTTAGGCCATGTAAAGACCCGCAAGAGAGCAGACATCTACAAGCCAAGAACAGAGGTTTCAGGATAGACCAACCCTACTGACATCTTGATCTTGGACGTTCAGTCTCCAGAGCTGTGAGGAGATAAATTTTTGTTTAAGCCGGTTCGTGGCACTCTGTTATGACAGCCCTAGTAAGCAAATAAATAAAAAAAAAAATAAACACAAAAAACCTAGCTTATTAAATAACAGTGATCAAGGCAATGTTGAGTTTGGCCAGAGTGAAGGAGAATCCAAAGAAATAATAATTCCTAGTGTGAAAGATTGTCATGGGTAAATTTCCTGGAAGATACTTTGCAAAAGTATGATTATGTTTTATAATTGACAAAGACAGAAGTATATTTTTGTGTTGGTTTGCTCGTTATTTAAAGAGACAATGATATACATTGAAATAAACACTGAGGCACGCTGAAATATATACTGAAATAAAATGCCCTGGGGAAATTAATAAACCTGAATTTATGATAATTTTAAAATGTCATTTTTAATGACAGAACTCAAGAGTAAGGTTTTAGTTATTCTTAATCCAACATCTAATCTCTCATTATTTTCCATCTGTTCTCTTGGCCTAAAATGTAACACATTTCTAGAAGGACCATTCTTTGAAAGAAGACATCCCACTTGTGCAGAAAAGTAGCAGGATCTCAAAGAAGAGCAGCACCGCTATTGCTAAGATGGAAACTCACGAGCAGATTATCACGAACATCACGATCTTTATTTTGACAGTCATCTTAACTAAGTTCTACAATAATTAAAATCCTATTTTTAAAAATTGTGAAATATCAACTACTGGAGCCATAAAGAGTAAAATACTCCTGGGTTAATAAAGTTTAAAATCAATACATTCAACATGTTTTTTGGTCAGATCATGAACTATATAAAGCCCCTGTTTTAAAAAAAAAAAAAAAAAAGAGAGAGAGAGATGAATGAGACATTTACTGCAAAAAAAAAAAAAAAAAATGACACTGCTTAAAAAATTTATTCATATAAAACTCTGACTTTTCATTTTATAAAAAAAAAAAAAAAATCTTTGAGACCAGAACAGCGCTAGTCATATAAAAAAAAAAAAAAAAAAAAAAAAAAAAAAAAAAAAAAAAAAAAAAAAAAAAAAAAAATGACACTGCTTAAAAAATTTATTCATATAAAACTCTGACTTTTCATTTTATAAAAAAAAAAAAAAAATCTTTGAGACCAGAACAGCGCTAGTCATATATCTCTGATAATTTTGACAGTAACTGTTATGATACTGTCGCTATTATCTGTGTTGCTTGTTGTTTATAATGGCCATGATCTGCTCATATTTTGTGAGATCAAATTATAAACAATTAATGTATAAATTATTGATCAGGATTTTGCTCCAAAATTAAGAGACATAGAAATGCTGCCAGCTATATTTCAATTCAACTAATGTGAACCAAAGAAAATACATCAATTTAAAATAATTATTTAAATATATTTAATTATGTATGGCATATAAAGGAATATATATGTATATACATACACAAACATGCACATAGCAGCCTGTGAGGCTGGCTGCTCTCATTTTTAAATTTTTTTATGATGCCTAATAGGCCTCAGGATATAGTTTACCTGACTTCCTCATCAACTTAAGAAGCTCCATTTTTACAGCTGGCTAATGAATTACTTTTCCCCATTCCTTTTTTTTTTTTTAACTTCTCCCCATTCCAAAGACTAAGGAAAAATGCTTCAATAATGCATATCTGTTTTAACACAATTAAAAAAAATGCTATAAAAATAAAAATATTATTGTTCAGTCCTCTGTTTCAATGTTTAAAAATGTGAATTTAATTTCCACATTTAAGAATAGTTCATTTTTGGAAATATGTAAATTAAATAATGTGGTGTCAATCTATATGAGGAATTTGACTGTCAAAATTCATCAAGTCAGTAAAATGCATACAAACACACATAGAATCAATCTGAGTAATTTTTTTCACCAATTTATTGTTATTTATAAGAACTTAAAGACAAATCTGTCAAAACATATGAAAACCCTGTTATTATGTACAGCTGTAATTGTATCCGGATCTAATTTTCTGGGCCATGATGATGCTTTTATACAAAGAAAAATATTATCATCAGTTCCACTTCGAATTGACAATTCAACCACATATTACTGTTAATCATAGCACTGTTATACTAAAATGCTCATTAGAATTGCATTAAAAAGTCAGTGTTGAAAACAGGGTTAGCATGTGTTTAGTTAACTGCACTTCACTATTTTTTTAAAAATGTACATTAAAGCCTCCTGGAGCATTTACCACCTAGAAATCTCTGTGTTATTATTTTTACATATTTTCTGTAAAGTAATTACTTAGATTAATTAAAATACCACTGGGCCTCTTAAATTTCTTAAAAGATCTTGTGAATCAGTATAATATTTAGGAGATACAAGAAGAGCTTTTTGAGATCATCTACTGTCAACCCTCACATTAAACTATGAATGGTTAAAGAAAAGTCAATACATTTTCCGATTGTATCATTAAGTTTTCTGATTGTCTGAAAAGTTGCATCATGAACAATAATAAGTCCGGTGACGTTTCACAGACTACTTCACCTCTGAGAATACACAGGTCCCACAGTAGTTCATTTTTCTTTGTTTTGGAAGATGCAATTTAACTCATCATATCTAAGTCCTTGTGTCTCTAAAACCACATAATGACATTTTTACTAATGATGCAGAAGTCACTGATATATAAAGACTAAAGAAACTTACCATCAAATACTTCCAGGGCATCAAATTGCTTTTCACTTTGAAATGTGTCCACAAAGATGGTAATGTTATAGTTTGGATCCACTTTAATACTCCAAGAGCATGTCTGGGAGTTAAAATAGTTGCCTGGATATCCTGGACTGAGGATTACTCCAGATGCTTCTGTCCGGACTTCATTTGCTGGACATTGTGCTGCAGAGAGAAGCACCAGCAAAGGTTTGCATTAACAAAGTGAATCCAACTTCAGTAGGATAGTTTCTATTCCTGTATGTACAAGCCAATGAAAAGAAAGGGCAGTCTGATGGAGTGCTGACCAAATTTAATACAGGATGCAAACATGGCAGAAGGGCAACACTGAATAATAATGAGTAATTATCATTCACATATCTTTACTCTGCAGTTATTTCTGTAAAGCCTGTACGTTCCTTTAGCCCCTGCAACTCACACACCTTTATTTGGGGCAGGTGCACTGTGGATTTCATCATACAATCCCAAGTTTTCTGAACTCAACTACAAAGTAAGGCCTCACCTTTTCAAGATAGCATTATAAAATATAGTAGAATTTTATGCAATAAAAGAAAAATAGTATTTATTTCAGCCTTATATATACTTAGAACAGTAAATTTAAGCATTCGATGTGATTGCTTGAGACCTGGGAAGAGAATGAATCAGGGACACCTCAGGTTCTTACCATGTGCAGCAGGAGCAGTGATTTCTAAGGGATGAATTTATTGGAAATGCATCATCAAAATATGAAAAGGATACTTTGACACACTTTCCCCCTCCTGCTTTCTATTTTTTTTCCTTATTCAGCTACTTCCAGTTTATTCAAAATAAAAATATGCATAGGTATGAATATGCAGAAGAAAAGCACCAAAGAAGAGTCTTTTGATTAGTAATTTCTCTCATTACTAACTTAAATTATCCTTCATAAATAGTTTGCTGATAGAACTATTAATGAAAAATTATTTGTATTATTGGTAAGGGTTTGTAATAAACAGAGATGTACCAAAACTATTTACAGTATTTAAAAAGTTCAATAATCAGCTTTTCCTAATGAAAAAGTTTTGTCAAAAGAAATGTATCTTATTTGTTATTTCCTTTTAGTTAGTTAAATGTGTATTATATCTACATACCCTTCAAAATAAAGAGACTTCCCAAATAGATGAGCAAAGCTTATGAAATATGTTTTGTGTCAAGTAACAAAATATTTTTTCCCTATTTTCTTGAACTGATTTTAGAATTCTAATTGAGATATATCTTAAAATTTAGAGAATGTTTAGGCATAAGACCACCAATAATAAAACATTCACAGAACCTTTGGCATCCAGGAAATACAAATCAAGACCACTTTGAGATATCATCTCACTCCACTCAAGATGGCTAATATCCAAAAGACTGAGAATGATAATTTCTGGCGAGGTTGCAGAGAAAAAGCAACTCTCATAGACTGTTGGTGGGACTGCAAAATGGTGCAGCCTTTATGGAAAATGGTATGGAGGTTCTTCAAACAATTACAGATAAATCTACCATATGACCCAGCTATTCTGCTGCTGGGAATACACCCAAAGGAATGGAAATCATCATGTCGAAGGGATACCTGTACTCCAATGTTTACTGCAGCACTATTTACAATAGCCAAGAGTTGGAACCAGTACAAATGTCCATTATTAGGTGAGTAGATACGGAAAATGTGGTATATCTGCACAATGGAATTCTACTCTGCTATAAAAAAGAATGAAATACTGCCATTTGCAGCAACATGGATGGACTTTTAAAAATTATATTAAGTGATATAAGTCAGGTACAGAAAGAGAAATACCACATGTTCTTACTTATTTTTATGAGCTAAAAATAAATAAATAAATAAATAAGCACACAAACAAATGGGGGGAGAAGATACAACAATCACAATTCCTTGAACTTGTTAAGATATGATGTAGGGGTGGAGGGGAAAAAGGGAGGGAAGAAGAAGAACAGGTAAAGGGTCATGAAAATCAACTACAATATATATTGAAAAGTTAAAATAAAAATAAACAAATAAATAAAATTTTAAAAAAGCAAAGAAAAAGAAATAAATGTGTACTTTAGGTCAGATTTTTAAAAAAATTACAATGATAAATTAATGGCAATAATATAAACAAAAATAACCCTAACCAGCACACAAAGATTAAAACACCTTAGATAAAAGCATTATTTTCTTCTGTGCTGGTGGTGAGATCACTTCGTAAAATATATTATGCCCATTCAGAAGTGAACGTGTTGATATTTTAAGAAAGAAAAGAAAACAATCAGAATCTGTGTCTGAGTTTTAGAAGCTGCACATATCTGCTTTGACTTTGCAATAAAAGCCAGAACTTCTCTTGGCTTTGGTATAAATAGATGGCAATAATAACTACACTTCAGCGTTATAATTTAATAGATGAAAATCTTTTTTCTTAACTCTAAAGCACTATATGAGCATTCATCTCAGCAGAACTTCATCTAAGCAGAAAATGGCCTAAGGACTAGGGATGTTCTCACCACATGCCTGCCTTTTCCTGACACCAAGAACACATTTCATCTTGCGATATGACACTTGAGAAACATATTCAAGCCATCTGGAAATAGGAAACCTTCTACTGAGTTGCTAAAATCCACCGGGATAACTATGAGCATATCTTTGGATTTGAAAATGAATCAGAAGCATTGTCTTAAGCCTAGCTATTCTTACTCTTTCCATTTTCAAAGTGTTGTTTTTGTTTTACGGAGAAGACAAAATGAAAATAACAGCAAAATCATTTGTATCATTTTTCTTACAACAGTTAAGGATATTTTTTCAGTTGTACATATTGTTTTTAAGGTGCATTTGAATGTTTCCCCATGAGCTAGATAGAGTGTCTTTGTTTCATTTTTTCTCTCTCGCCCTTTCATGCCTACCTATTCCTTCAGTTCATTGCTATAAACAGTTGCTAGGAGCAACAGCGACTTAGAGTGGGAAGGTTTCAAAGGACCACGTGCTCTCCCGCAGCCCAGCTGCTCATTTCTCTAACAGCAATCACACATTAAAAAGCACACTGCTTCTCCACAGGGGAGTTTGGGAAACCTCTCCCCACCAGGAAGCATCTGCGTAGGGTCCTGTCAAAAACACATCTGAGAGGCACTTGCCTCTCTAAGACATCTGCTTGTCCTTTGAGCCATCATTTCTCTGCACGGTGTTATTCCTTCAGCTTATTTTTAAAGAAAAATCAAATGCGAGGCTTAAAACCCAAAGCACATTATTAAACGCATCTTGCAGGCCTTCAGCAAAAGTGATATAGGATTAGGATTAGTATACAGGATTAGTAACATAAATGAGGATTTATAAGTAATTAAGATTAATTCTTTAAAATACCCATAGGTATGAGAGAAGTGTGAAAACTGAGTGTAGACTAGTGGGCAAAGCCACACGTGAGGCCCGTGAGGCGCCTTTTCTATCAGACACGCCCAGGGAGCTGGTGCTGGTCAGCCACTTTCCTGTGGTTTTTATGTCACTTCCCTCTGTGGCTTTTCAGAAAAAATGGGCATTATCGGAAGGTCACTGATTCGCTTTAGCATTCATTGAAAATGTACGTTTCCAATTTTTTAAAATAATTTTCTGAAAACTATTGCTGTATCCGCATGGTATGAGTACATTAAAATGAAGAAACCTGACACTGATGACCTTTTGAAATCTGGCCCTATTTTAGGATTCCAGCCCAGCTTAGTAGCTCTTCCCCACACAATCCCTAAGAGCAAGCTGCCAGGAGCCACCTCTTTCCTGGACTCTGCGTGCCTGCTGTTTTGTGTTTCCCAACCTTTGTTATTAATTCTCTTCACTTTTTGAAATACTTCCATTAACATGAAAAAAGTCACTTTTGTGATATCTCTCACTCAGTTGTTTTTTATAAACAAGGATAGGTATCTAACATGGTAATATTTATCTGCATATAATGCTAACTTAAAAAAAAAATCTATTCCCCTTGTTTCCCCCAAATTGGTGATAATTTTCAAAGCAGAACTTCTGAAAGTATGATTATGATTTTTGAAGAAGTAAGAGTAAGAACTAATACAATTTTTCATTGAGAAACTATTGGGAGATTGGTACTACTTGAGTTCAATCAAATCAAGTAAATAATAAAAAAGTACTTAAAGATTATAATTAAATTTTTAAATGATTAAGGATTTGGCAAAAGACATCTAAGCTCCTATTTCCTGGTTTTAAATGATGAATTGTGTAGAGAATGGCAGCTAAGATTACTCTCAGTTCATTTTAAAAGAATTTCCTCCTGAATTGAAAGAGAAGAGAACAAGGTTGTACTATGTAATGACCGCTGCACGGTTCAGGATGGTGTGGGGATCTTTGACGAGAATATGGAGGACAAGCCACGTCTGCCGAGTGTGCCCTGCAATGTGTGGCAGTCAGGGCGATTTGGAGAATGATGCTTAAGGTGCATTGATTTTCTCTGTTCTTGTATTGTTATGAATTAAACTTCATTTAAATTAAAAAGTAGGGTAATCTGGGGAAGACAACATAATAAAGGAAGATTCCTGGGTTTAGGGTGGTATAGTAAATGAATACGTAAGACTTTCTTCACTTCTCCACTAAGACCACCTTTGCTTAAGGTCCTTTACTCTGAGAAATGCAAGGTCAAGTTCACTGGGATTAAAATATGTCTTAAAAATGTGATTTGCCTCAATTAATTTTTATATAAAACAGCAAAACACAAACAGGTTAAGTCCCCCTATCTTGAGAAAAAATCCACATGTAGATCGTTGTCGCTGTTGTAACATGGCACTGACACTAATTTTTTTCCAAGAAAATTATGCCTTTGGTCTCCTGACTTTGTACCCAATGTGATCCCCGACTCCTAAGTGAGGCAACCAAAAGGCACAAAGTTTCAGTGGCTGACAGCAGCATGGATTCTGTCAGCATTTAAAGAGCAGACTGAGTGGCTTTTGCTCTCCCAGGGTGGTATTCCCACACCCGTGGCTCTCATGCAAATAGAATTTTAAAGTTTTTTTTTTTTTTTAATTTTCTAAGTTACTATGGATATTTATAGTAATTCATTCCAAAATTCATGTAAATTTTCCTTCAGATGTTGAAAATTGCTTCCATCTCTCAGGGTGATTAGGGTTTTGCCTCATCACGTAATGAGAAGGCACGAAATTATCAGACATCTGAAGAGAATCCACTCACAGGCATTGGTACTCCCCAAATCATCGCAAAATTGTCAATACTGCAATGCAAAGAAAACTCCCTTCTATAGGGTAAACAACTAATACAAAACATTTAAAATAATAATTCATTTAATATTCATTGAGTCTTTACAATCTTATAAACAAGGCAGATAAATTATCCTCCCTATGCAGGATGCACAGGGGATTAATGACTTCCCCAAAGTCACTTGATAGAGTCTAGACTGGGGCTCTTGATCTGGTCTTGTCCTAAATTTTGGGCCCTTTTAGGTGATTCACTCTCCCTAAGGAATAATATTCAGATTCCTTAAAAGGGAGATCCCATTGCTCAAAGGCACCACATCATTTCATGATGATTCTGAAGTCATAAAAAAATTCTAATTTAGAAACTTTTTAATAAGCAAACCAATGATGTTTTTTATTTACTTAAGCATTTGAGCTTCTTTATAGCTTTTCTTTTTTTTTCTTCCAGCAGTACTTAATAGTCGTGCCTATTAAATGATATTTTTAAAGTAATTAAATTGTATTCTAATTGATTGAATCAATGGGTTCAGCATCAAATCTTGTTTTATTGTTGTATATTTTCTATGTTCCTGTATATGGTCTATGTATTTTAAAGACATGTAAAAACAAACAAAAACCATGAGATGTGTGCACTGTTTATAAATTTTACTCCAAATAAATTAAGCATGAGCTAATTATACGCATGTCAAAATATTCAGGGGGAAATGTAGTGATGCCCAATATTTGCCTTGAAATGCATCAAAAAATATGATATAGTTTAATGAATGGATAGAG